GCTTTAAGACGAGGTATGACAAAGCTCAGGAAGCAGAGAGAGAGAGGACGTGTAGCGATCAGTGAAGAGGTGGAGCCAGGAGCTGAGTATCGACCCCTGCAACCACAATTAGGCGAGTACACCCCGGAGTACGCCGTCTCACAAAACGCGTATACGCACACACTGGAGTAAAGTACAGCTTATTGCCACGTACTTGTTGGGTAAATCCCAGATGCAAGATTCAATCATTTCCCCTCTCCCATAAGTTTAAACCCTGGCCTTCCCCTCTCCCATAGTAAACCCTGGCCTTCCCCTCTCCCCTAGTAAACCCTGGCCTTCCCTCTCCCATGTAAACCCTGGCCTTCCCCTCCCCATAGTAAACCTGGCCTTCCCCTCTCCCATACTACAAACACTTCTACCCCTCCCACCAATACGGGACTAGCCCCCCTGTCCACGATACACCCTCACCCACCCTCACCCACTTTTCCTCTCCACCCCGACCAATATCCCTCACGGTCTCCACTACTAACGACTTAACGAGAATAAAATTCGCATCTCCATTACGTGTCATCCCAAGAGATCGGTTTCCATGGTAACCCAAGCCACGGGAAGCTGGGAAACAGACCATCCTGGTATCAATCCCAGTGGTGGAGGGTAGTTGCTGGGGGCTGGTAGTTAAATACCACAACTACCACATACTGGTGGAGGGTACTAGCTGATGGGAGGTAGTCAAGCCTATCACAACTACCACCAAACAAAACCCAACCACTTAACAGGCAGTTAACATTAAATTAGCATAATGCCCTTCGTTGTGGATCCTGTTACTACAACGTCATCGTTCATTGTAAGAGATGAGGTCACACCAGTTTCCTGAAGTTGTCGCTCCACTGTTATAAAACGAACTCACCGTCGTTACCTTCCGTCGTTACATCATCAAGTCATGAAGATGCTTGACATCACCAGCGTAAAATATAAGACTCGCCTGCAGCCCAGACGCATACCCAAACTCGGTTCATGCATTTTCAAACACACGAAAAAAAATATCGAAGGCGGGATGCATAGTCCATAGTGGAATGTTTGATAGTGTCACCATCTCAGTGCTGAAATCTTCCAGCTCAGCCTGACACCTGCATTACCTCGGTATGCAACCCCTTTCCCCTGTGACGCAATATGACGTTAACATATCTAGTTTTGTTAATGTAGTGCAGTTCTCAACAGAATATGGCAGCAGTACACTACGGGTGTTCTCTCCTTGTAACAGAAAAAGGTAGTATAAGGGTTACACAATGCAAATATACAGAAAGGACAGAGCCACACAATCATGTAGAACAGGGTACCAAACTACAAGCGTTCTAACACTGTCATGTAAACAGGGAACCACACTATAAGCGTTCTAACACTGTCATGTAACAGGGTACCACACATAAGCGTTCTAACACTGTCATGTAGAACAGGGTACCACATACAAGCTTTTCTAACACTGTCATGTAGAACAGGGTACCACACTTTAAGCGTTCTAACACTGTCATGTAGAAAGGGACCACACAACAAACGTTCTAACACTGCATGTAGAACAGGGTACCACACTATAAGCGTTCTAACACTGTCATGTAGAAACAGGGTACCACACTTACAAGCGTTCTAACACTGTCATGTAGAACAGGTACCACACTACAAGCGTTTAACACTGTCATGTAGAACGGGGTACCACACTACAAGCGTTCTAACACTGTCATGTAGAACAGGGTCCACACAACAAACGTTCTACCACTGTCATGTAGAACAGGGTACCCCACTAAAAGCGTTCTAACACTGTCATGTAGAACGGGTACCACACTACAAGCGTTCTAACACTGTCATGTAGAACGGGTACACACAACAAGCTTTTCTAACACTGTCATGTAGAACAGGGACCACACAAACGTTCAAACACTGTCATGTAGAACAGGGTACCAACACTACAAGCGTCTAACACTGTCATGATAACAGGGTCCCACACACAAGCGTTCTAACACTGTCATGTAAACAGGGTACCACACTACAAGCATTCTAACACTGTCATGTAGAACAGGGTACCACACAACAAGCGTTCTAACACTGTCATGTAGAACAGGGTACCATACTACAAGTGTTCTCATACTCAGAGAACGAGGTATCACACTACGTGTCCCACACTATCATACAAAACAAGGTTTTTCCCACACTATTCATACACAACGGTATACATACACTGAGTGTACCCAAAACCTTTTAATAACAAAAAGCAGTCCTTACAAGCTTTAATAATCACTGTTGGACACTTAACCCACCCTTTAAAATCGCCACCACTGGCACCAGAGGAGCGACCTCGGGCTAGCACTGTCTCTCCAGGGCACGAAAGTTAGCCTGGGCCTCCCCAGGCCACTGTTAGGGGGGTCACACACATAATCTTCATAGATCACGTTACTAGTGAAGATATTATGATACCAGTAGAGATAAGCGAATAAATATTAGCCACAACGTAGTTCTGGTAGGGGGTCAGATATTAGTATCAAGGGGGAGTGTGTGCCTGCGGGCCCAGTGACTAGCAAGTCCCTGCAGGCAGTGACTTAGCAAGTGCCTGCAGGCATGACTTACAAGTTCCTGCAGGCAGTGACTTGGGAAAGATCCCTGCAGGCCCGTGACTTAGAAAGAGTGCCTGCAGGCAGTGACTTAGCAAGTGCCTGCAAGCAGTGCCTTAGCAAGTGCCGCAGGCAGTGATTAGCAAGAGTGCCTGCAGGCAGTGACTTAGCATGCCTGCAGGCAGTGACTTAGCAAGTTCCTGCAGGCAGTGACTTAGCAAGTGCCTGCGGCAGTGACTTAGCAAGGGGCCTGCAGCAGTGACTTGGGCAAGTGCCTGAGGCCGTGCCCTTAGCAAGTGCTGCAGGCAGTGACTTAGCAAGTTCCTGCAGGCAGGACTTAGCAAGAATGCCTGCAGGCAGTGACTTAGCAAGGTGCCTGCAGGCAGGACTTAGCAAGAGTGCCTGCAGGCAGTGACTTAGCAAGTGCCTGCAGGCAGTGACTTAGCAAGTCCCTCCCAGGCAGTGACTTAGCAAGTGCCTGCAGGCAGTGACTTAGCAAGAGTGCCTGCAGGCACTGACGGAATGAGTGCCTGTATGCCAGGGGCCCGAGTACATGGTGTTCTTGCAGGCCCTTCTCTGATCCCCTAATATATCCAATTTACTGATAAAAAAAAACTGTCAGGGTATATAGTACGACTTGCTAGAGCGGTCAGCCCTCACCAGTATGTTCAGTGAAACATTTAGAAAGACATCAGGAACCAAGATTACAATTATATCCATTAATTTTTAAAGGGTGCAAGGGTTAGCCAGTGGAAGGCCTCGGTCAAATGACCAAAAGCTCCAGCCCGTGGGTCATCATATGACTAAGTCAGGAACACTGTTTCCTGACGATATTACCTAACCATCATGTTCAGAAAATGTATTTATTATCATGTTTCGCTCTATACAAGGGATACATGACTACCGGGCTGACAAGATAACGAGGTATACAGCGAAAGTTGCTTTTAATAAAATCTGATCTGTACAATGTTTCTGTCACACATGTGGGCAAGCAAGACTTGCTCGCATGTAGTACGGTTACACACTCCGTCTTCAGCAATGATTCCATTAACGAACTAAGACAATGATTGGTCCCAAATGTTGTGTGTGTGTGTGTGTGTGTGTGTTTTGTGTGTGTGTGTGTTGTGTGTGTGTGTGTGGTGTGTGTGTGAGTGCACTCTACCTTCCCTCCTACCCAAACCCTCGCAAACCACCTCCACTAAGCCCTTCACTCGGAGAGAAACCCAATACTCGAGGCGCAACACTCTCGTGACTTCACCTCGAACAGAAGCAAGAAACACTGAGCCAATACAAAATAAGTCTCGTCACCACCTGTAACACAGGTCGTCTCGTTTGAGTAATGCGGCCCCCCCAACCCCGGCTACATTATTTCTAATCAAACTTAGCGGTAAACCCACGGAGTCGCATCCATTTCCCGCCTAATGAGTGTAAATGTGACTTTAATGCCGCTTATCCCCCCCCCGACTTAAAAATTCAAAATTTTTAGTCTATAATCATTTTCTCACACAACTTTGCAGCTCTATACACAAAAAACCCGCACATAAAACAGAAGCTTACGACGACGTTTCGGTCCGACTTGGACCATTGACAAAATCACACTAACAGAGGTGGAGCGGGGCGGCTATATATGGCAGGAAGGGTGGAGGTAGTAGTAGTGGTAGTAGTAGTAGTAAATAGTAGTACAAGAATGTATATAATACCGACGGATGAAATGACACATGCACAACACCCGGGGATCCCACCTAGACGTTTCCCCCTATATATAGCCGTCCTGCTCCACCTCTGTTAGTGTGACTTTGTCAATGTCCAAGTCGGACCGAAACGTCGTCGTAAGTTTTCTCTCTTTTATGTGGGGGTTATTTGTGTATCGTTCCAGTCACGGTATTGTGCCTTTTTGTTATTTATTTGCAGCTCTATATTTAACCCCTAATTATTATTTAAGGTACTGGGGGTATCCCACCGAGGTAGGGTGACCTAACAGAAAACTGAAACTCCTCCTTTTAAATTTAGAAACATATCAGGACAAGGGGGTTACTAGCCTTTTTGCTCCCGGCATTTTAGTCGCCTCTTACGACACGCATGGATTACGGAGGAAGGATTCTTCCCACTTCCCCATGGAAACTATTTTACAAACGTCATTATTATTCAGAGTTAAGAGTGTTGGATGCTGATACAATGGCACCACAGACCCCGACAAACACTCACCATCACTACCCACCATCACTCCCCACTACCATCACTACTCACACCTCCTTAGTTTCAGCACAGCTCCACGTTATACAATTACCATACAAAGTAATATGTGCTCAATAAGAACCCCCGAAAAGAGGATCCCCGAAGGGGATCGAAACACACAGATTAATTAATCTTGTCTGTCCCCATGCACGTTATTACTGAGTATTGACAAATGATCATTATACTTTAGTTACCCATCGTAAACTTGTCTAAGTTACGCACGATACCCTAAAAAACGTCAAAGTTACTTAAATTTTATTGGGGTCTTTGTAATAAGTAGACTAATGTCTACTGTAAGATACAGTAGACATCAGCCATGATTTTAACCTTAAAGATAAATAGCTAAGTAACTCAACTGTGCAAAAATAATAATAATAATAATAATAATAATAATAATAATAATAATAATAAAATAATAAAAATAATAAATTTTTACCTTGGGGTTGGAGTAGCGACGTGTACAAATAAACCCCAATGCAGTTAGCTGTGAGTCTGACGCAGGGGACCCAGAGCTGGAGCCCCCTGTCAAAGGGAGGCTGTATGAGTGGGGTGCACGGGGCAGGGCTAGACGGGGCAGCAGGTGTGGCGGGGCAGTGGGGTGGTAGGCACGGAGGCAGGAGGGGCGCTGTAAGTACCTGAAGACAGGCGCCCTCAGCCTCGACTTCGGCTGTTTGTGAGTCCCCCTGAAGCGGTGGACGTCGGTTATGGTACTACACCCGC